TGCGGAAATTTTGTGAAGAAAATTTTCCTGACCAGAAATTCAAGACGGATGCGAGCAGGCGTTCTTTCGTGGAGAAGCGCGGTTTGACTATCCAGGACGACGAGCTTGGAAACCCCGGGATTGCAGTGCCAAAAGAGGGAGGCGACCCTGAAGAGAAAGAGATCAAGGTGGGGAGGCGGCTCTCAGCAGCAAAGGTCAAAAGCTTTGGCTATGACCCTGAGAATGCAGACAAGCAAGACATGGCACAGCAGCACGCTAAGAACGCGAAGGGCCTTGCCGTGAAAATGAACTCGAAGGACCTTTTGAGGTTTGATAGGGTTTGCAAAGGCAAAGCTTGTTAGGCTATATGTGCATGCACGCGCGCGTGTGTGTGAGGTGTGTGGTGTGTGTGTGTGTGTGCGCTTTGGCTGAAGTGACGAAGCGATGGTAGAGACAGGGCTGTGGACTATGGACAAAGCGCAGTGTGGTGGTGTGTTTGTACTGTAAATAGGAATTGGAAGGAGTCGGACAGACAGTAGACAATAGACAATATAGACTGACTCCACTTAATAGACACAATTAAATAAACACTATCGGCAGGCTAGGCAATATATAGTAGACAAACAAATTGATAGACGTTGGGAGCGGTGCCGGACTACGACCATTTATGAAAACCCGGAGTATGGTTTAAAAAAACAGTAATCAGGTAATCAGTAATCAGCCATCAATTTGCAAGGACTATTTATAACTTAACTTATAACCACTTAGACACCATTTGTTGATTGGACTTTAACAACGGGCGAATTGCGCACAGCTAGCTTCGGGACTACAGGAACTGTGGACCCAGTTGTTTCGTCAAAAGATACCGTCTTTTGGACATGCCCGGTTGTGCTATCCGGAATGAGGATGAGTGAGGATAAGGCTAGGATTAGGATTAGGATTTAGGACAGGAGAAGCAGGAGGATCAGGACTGGCAGCTTGTCTGGTAGACAGTGGAGCCACAGCTCTAAGTAGCACGCCGCCCGCCTTCCCTCAATTGCCCGCGATTAGGAGGGTTACAGTAGGAGTTTGGAGGATGAGAGCCGACAGCTTGTCTTTGGTAGACGGTAGAGCCACAGATCTAAGTAGCACGCCTTCCCTAGATTGCCTGCGATTAGGAGGATTAGTTAGGAGTTAGGAGGATGGATGAGGACCGGCAGCTTGTCTTTGGCAAACAGTAGAGCCACAGATCTATGTAGCACGCCTTCCGCCTTCCTTTGATTGCCCGCAGCTAGGGGTTAGGGTTACAACTTTCATTAACTAATCGGTCAAATGTTTAAGCTCCAGCTCCATGATACGCTGCTACGCAGTATGCTGGCCATAGAATCATGTCACATATGTCATCCCAAAATGTGCACTGTGTGACTGTAACTGTGTCACATTATGTAATACATACATATCACACATAGCATTATTTTTTGACAAACTGACTGAACTTGGCGTTGGGAACACGAAACCGGGTCAGAGACCAGGAACGCGGGGGTGAGTTGCGCTTTGCAGTTTGTTTGTTTGCATCGAATGAGCAGCCCCCACAATTTCTTGGTATCGTTTAAATATTAATCACAGAGTCTCACAGAGTCATAGCCTATAGTCTGCTATAGGCTATAGTCAATCAAGTGACGCACCGGACTAGACTAGACCGGACCATAGGACAATGACGGCGACCTTAGTTTTAATCAATGGACACCCGCTTTCCATGGGAGGAGACGCTTGATGCTGCCCTTGGCGTCGAGGGTAAGGATGAGGAAGAGGACGACGACGAGAAGTCTGTTGCTGGCTCTGACGCATCCAGTGAGTTTGGTTTCGGTGGTGGGAAGAAGCCTGTCACCAAGACAAAACCCAGCGCAGAACCAGCGCCCAAGAGGGCGAACCCAGCTGGACCAGTCACTGGCACTACAAAGCCAGATCAGTGTCAGAACAAGGCCATTGAGAAGGGCAAAGCAGCAATGGAGCAAGCAACGAAAGTGATGGGCACTTTGGCACCGCTGAGTTCCACTGCCATCTGGCGCGGCTCTTTCAAAGACTCCGACATTTCAGCCAGATTGAAGAAGGCATCCACAACCGCCTCATCTCTTTCCCAACAGGCTTCTACCATGGAGCAAAGCCAAACGAAGGCTGAAATGGAGGGCCTAGCGGCGCGGATGGAGCAGAAAGTGGCTGAAGTGTCAACGCTGCAAGAGGTTCTTGGGCAAGTGCACAAGAGCAAGCAAATCCTGTCCCTTGTGCAAGACCGGCATTCTGCGGACAAGCTGACCTCCGCCTTGCCGAATATGGATGCTGAAACTGTAACGAACGTTTTGATGACGATCGGCGGAAAACTGTCTGAGGCCTGCGCGGGGTACTTGTATTTTTTTGCTATGCAGCATCGCACCAACAAGGTATTGCAATGCCATTGCGCCATTGTGTGTGTGTGTGTTTCCGACAACCACTTTGGAATTTTATAGGCAGAAAAGTCTTGCGTTGCGTACGAGCTCGAGTTCTTTACTGTTGACCATTCTGGACTTCGGACTAATTTCCAGGGCCGTTCAAGATGCATTGAATGGTTTCTTGTGTGCACTTGCCATCGCACCCGTGCCAGGACGAAGGTGCGAAGCACTTCTTCAAGTTCCTCTCGGTCGTGGCTCCAGATGATTCGTCTGAGGTTTGCTTCACCTTTGGCAGTGTCTATGGGCAAACTGAATCTTTGGATCGAGCTCTCCTCCGGACCCAGTTGACAGTTGCCCATACTTGGATGGACGGTTTCAAGTCAATGCCGTATGCCAAGATCCAGACAATAGCTGCTGGAGGGCTCAAGAGCATTGAGTTTGCAAACCAGTCTGGCATCGCAAGGTGCGACGTTGAGACAAACAGCCGACAGCTTTTAGGAGGACGGTGGAAATAGACAGTTACATAACATATCATATCACATATGGTCCTATGGTTATCATATGGTTCAAACAAACATGAGCTATGTAGAAATGGAAATGAGTTAGAAAGAGTTGGAGTTTTGGAGCCGCAGTTTACTTTATATACTGTATATATAAATTTCGTATCTTGGCGAGAGTGTCTCACTGACCATACTCACACTACTGTTTGTTCTTCTTCAGAGCCCAAAGCCGTTAATGAAGTGATAATTTTTGGCATTGCATTGGCCGGATAGATGTTACATGTCCGTCAATGCCAAAACCCAGCAAGTGAAGGGAACCATGGGTGTGGATTCGATTCTAACTCGACTCTGACTCCAACATTTTTTTTGAACTGCTGTCGATGACTTGGTATCCCGTATCCCTGAGGGCTGGATGCAAGTCAGATCTGAGCCTCGAGGCTTCGAATCCTGAGCACTTCAAGAATGAGACCGGCTTTTCAATGCAGTTGCTCACTGACCTGCAAACCTTGGTTGCCTGCTTTGGGATCGCATACCACGAGAAGGCATCTCTCCCAGTCACCAACCTCATGCGCATCCAGTTTCGGGAAATCACTACGCGCGCTGAGTTTTCTTCTCGCGTGACCTTGGCTATGCGCCAAAGCCAAGGGTGGCAGCATCTCTCCTGAATAAGGTTTGAATTGCAATCGCCGAGGCTGCATGTTCATTAATTGTAAGATCGTTCCTTTGTCGCCTTACAATCTATGACTCCACTCTGACTAGACGCCGACTCTAATTTGAACTTAAGCGGAAGCATTGGGAGCGTGATAAGAATTCTGGTACAATTTAACTTTGACCTTCCCAGACCCACAGTGAGGCAGCTTTGGCAGAAGGTTGTGACTGAAGGGAAGAAGGCCCTGGACCAGGGCCGCATGCTTGACGGTGGGAAAGCACTCGTGTCCTCCATGCAGAAGTTGCTGGCCGGCTTGAAAGAGCAATCGACCGAAGACAAAGTCATCCTGGCAGACGGAAAACGGGCCCTCATCCGAGATTGCTGTGCGAATGACCCGTCAGCGATTGCCAAGGAGCTTCAGGGCATTGAAGGTGAATCTGCGACTACAGCGGATCAGCTCACTGAGGCTGTGGAAGGCTTGCAGGCTTTCATTCGCCCCCAAATCGAGGCTTGTGCGAACAAGATCAAGGAGTGGGTTGGCAGGCAGTGGTTTGCGGCTGGTGAGGGAACACAAAGTGATTTACTCTCAGCGACAGCATCTCCCCTTCTGGAGTGCTTGGAGTCTGCCAGCATCATCCGTGTCTTGGATGGATGTTCGCGGTGAATGTTCTTTGTTTCTTAGCTGTTGGCTGTTATTAAAAATTTTATCCAGGTTTTCATTCGTATGAGTCTGACTGTCTCATGAATCTTTCTTGTGCAGTCTGTTTGGCATGCCCGTGACCGGAGATCACATCCTCCCAATCGCATCCAGACTGTCCAGACTCTGAATGTACTTTCGACTGTTGATCTCATCCTTAGACAGGACTTTGTTTCTGAGACTCAAAGCTGACTCCCAAAAGCGCCGCGGGGTGTTTGCACTAGTGATCGTCGAGCGTCAGCGATATTAATTTGATATTGATATGTATTTGAGTTATGTTATGTCATGTTTTTTAACGACGCGGCCTGGACAAAGCAGGTGAGCTTTTGCGCATCTTTGGTCCCACTGCAGACGAACCATTCAGCAATGCAGTGGACATGGTCATGCTGGTGAAGAAGTTTTCTGATGAGTGCGCCAAATTCCCTGACAAGAGCAAGGAGGATGGCATCTTGGAGCTCAGCTGCAAGCTGCGTAGGGACCTTGCCTCATTGGTTGGCCGCTCATGGAACTGTGGCAGTGTTGAGTTCAGTGCATCGAATGAACTTCAAGATCTTTTCAAGGGAATGTTGAAGCGCTTGGTGGAGGGACTTGACCACCACGGCGTGGTGTGGCTGAAAAAGAAGGTGATGGAGGCCGACCCATCTTTCAATCCGAGGAAGACACTTTGCGTCACCACACCGCGACTGGAGGCATGCATCGTGACAGTTGCCATGTCCACCACCGAGTTGCCCCAGGAGTTGGGTGAAGACTTCGCTGACTTGGTTGGAGCCATGCCCGAGTACACAAAGGCCTGTTCTGTCAGCGTGGAGCTGATGAAGGAACTCAGCCCCGATGGCTTTGAGCTCTTGAAGAGATTCACAGATGCGGTGGAAAACAAATTGTGGGATCAGCTCGATGTCTTCCAGCAGTCCATCAGCCAGCTGAGGAATCTCAACAAGAAATACATGCACTTTGGTGGCATTGATTCATTGACAATTGACTTTGAACTGAATGTGACTTTGGAAAGTATTGTACTTAGACTGACTTCAGGTTGTGGGCTATGTACTGTTCCGATATCATTTGTTTGGTTACTTGTGTTTCCCGTAACCAACTTTTTTTGCGCAACGTTGTCAGGTCAGTCAAGAGCTGCGCAGTGGACTGGAAGATGGAGCACGTCCTGTGGATGTTCCAGGGTGATGAGACCGTGGATTCTGACATGACCATGATGTTGGAGTTGCGGACAGAGATCAGCGACTCCATCAAGTGCGCGGACAAGATTTTGGCTGTTGGCCGAGGCCCTTCGTCTTTCGAGAAGTTTGCAGAGGAGCTCAAGAAGACCACGGTTGACGCGCAGGCCAAATGCCTTTGATTTGTCAAGTCATCAGGTGTTTGTATTGTCCTGGCAGCTCAGTATCATTCATACAGTATTACATATATACAGATACATATATGAAATTATATGACTGATATGACGCATATGCCGTTGACATTGAGAATGGACAGGGACTTAAAAGGTGAACAGGTCTTCCGGTCTTCCACTTTCAGTCTTCTGGGGAAACTGTTCAAATTTCATTGTCAGCCTCGATGCCAATGACAATATGTGCATTGGAGGCAGCCCGTCACGAAGTCGCCCAGACTGTGGCTACTATGGTGGCTGCAGACGTTTTCCTAAATCCGAAGTGGGCTGGAAAGGCACACAGTGCGGTTCCCAAGGTGTTGAGCTATCTCACTTCAAAGATTGGCATGACTTTGAAGGATTTGCAGGAGATCTCGCCAAAGCTGGCTTCACAGATCATGGAGGTGACTGGCAGTGGCAGCGAGAGTAGTCGCAAGAAGGTTCAGCAGCCGCCAAAGGCTCAACCTGAGGTTGAGGAAGATGGAAACAAGCGGCGTAAGACTGCCCCGCAGCCAAAGATGACCCGCAAGCGAACCCGGCCGGCCGATTCCTGAGCAGGATTAGGGTCTAGTTCTTCAATGTTTTTCAGGGCTGCAGGTGACAGGAGGGCACTTCTGACCATGAAGACACCTCCATAAGTCCATGAGAGATGAGAGTAGAAATGCGATAGTCTGATTGGACGACTGCCTTGTTACCAAACCAGCTGTAACTTTAAGCTCTTCTTCTGTCACCTCTCATTTGGTCTTGTTGGGCCTGGCCTCAACACCTCTAGAGTCTTTTGACAACAGGTGATGCGGTCAGTTGGGGATGCCCATTGATGATTACCATGGACCATGGCTGATGCCGTGCTGTGCGCCGAGAAAAAGTCTTGACCTAGCAAGGGCAAGGGTCATGTTGCGCAGACCGCGGATCTCAAGATTTTTGCTTGATCTGGCACTGGTGCCAGCCACAGACACAAACCCACACAGAAACCTGTTTGGAATTGGAAGGGGGGCACAGGAGTCCGAATTTTCAGGCAAACCCTGAGCAACTTCATCTAGCCTCTGAGAACTCAGCCTTGGACTATGTCTATTTTTCTGTCCATTTCTTCCCAGGTCACCCTAAGGTTTCTTGATTTTCTCTATATAGATTCTATTGTTCCTTATATAGTTTCTATGGAGTTTCTATACAGTTTCCAGGAAGTCTATTATAGTTTCTATATGCCCCTGGTTGCCACACTTAAACACACATTCACTGGTTACAAAGCATTCGATGTAATGCTTTCTGGGGCCCGTTCCATCAGTGAACGGTTTGCCATACACTTGTGGAGTAGGACGACATGCAACTCTCCAAGAGTGTGTGATGTGCTAACTGTTAGGCCTCCCTACGAGACACTGCCGATGCTCACTTTTTACCTTGGTGA